GCTAGAGATGAAAGAGTATAGACTATACCACTGATATGAAACTATCCTACTTCATTTATCTATGCACATTCGTTGACAATTGAATGCAGTTAAAAATCAGGCACTTCTAAATTAAAGTGCTATCAGCTCCAGAAGGAGCAGAGTCTAAGAATAACGGTAATTCTGTAGTTTTAGCAAAGACACACTCTATCTCCATCCATACTGAGCAATTAATGGCTAATGTGTAGGTATGGCAGTCAGCAGATGTAGAATGCGAGTGTGTTTCTGTTTTAAAGTACTTAATCTGTAAATGAAAATAAAATTACCAAGTATTATACTTTATTTTCCGTCCTGTCATTAAAATAATCAATAAGATCAGCTACCAGAAGAAAACAGATGAAAATTATTTGCAAGTTTATTCTTTTATACTACAGCAGTCCAAACCTAGACAGAAACACAGCCATACTTGCGAAGTGATGCACACACCACCTTATTTCTATACTTCCAAGTTTATTTATCTTATCTATTTTTTGTCTAAAAGACTGTTGCTATCATCAGCACAGAATATACAGAAGTTAAGCTCCTGTCGGATGAACCCTGTGCAGTCCACGCACATCTTGTGCTGGCAGGCAGGGCAGGAGTGGAGTATGGTGTCTTTTTTGTTGCATCCCTCGCACTCTCCCTTGTCCCCCGGCGTGTAGATCGGTGCAGAGTTGCTCCAGTGGAGCGCCTTAAGAAGATGCACAGCAGCACTGAGGATATTTTCACATATCGGACACACTCCCGGAACATTGCACACTTTTGTTGTGCAGAAGGGGCACTCGTACCCCCACTCCTTCAGCTCCAAATGGCAGGCGCATATTGTGCTTTCGTTTATGACAGTTGGAAATCCAATTTTAAGCATTGCGAGCCGAGCAGATGCACTGTGCGGGGGCGGTATGCATATCAGCCCCAGGAGAGTGCTTAGATCCTCTGGGCAGTTGACAACCCCAAAGACCCCGCCGCTCTCTTCGCTGATTCTCTTGAGTATTTCCATCTCTCCCGCCATGTGTATAGTGTGCATGATGATTCCTCTGTTTATCAGCTGGTTTTTCAAAAAAAGTGGGCTTCTGCCAATAAAGGAAAATCCAGAGATAATAAAAATAACCTCTTTCAAAAACGAGCACCCCTGGAAGAACTCATTCACTGTTTCAAATGCTGCGCCCAGTGAGAACTTCCCTGCGCCCTCGCTTTGGCTGAAGCACATTTCAATTTCCTCCTCCTCCGAGATGATGGAGCTCACAAGATACGATGTTCCTTCGCTGACCACAGCCATTCCCACGGTAGACAGAGGGTTGCTCTCCGTAAATGAGCGGAAAAACTTTATTACTGATTTTTTTACATAGTACTTCCTTGATGGCAGTAAATCTCTCTCTTCTATTGCGCTCGACATATCTAGCACAATCAGAACCCTTCGAACTATTCCTCTCTGCAGGTTTTCTGTCCTTCTGTTGACGTTTAGCGCGAATATGTCGTTTCCTCCGTCGTGTTTGTCCCATGTATTTTGGAATGCCTCCTCCCATCTGAATTTATTTTCGCTCATTCTCTTAAGAACTAAAATTCTTTGTTTTTGTTATGAGAGAAAAGAGGCTTGTTCTGGGCAATAAAGAACTGGGCTTACTAATGGACTGTGCTCAGGCAATAACCTTTTCAGGCGGAACATTCCCCGAGATAGAGAGAATCGTAAAAGCGGTTGACAAGATGGAAGATTACGAGGTCGTTCATGCCCTGGCCAAGGGAGGGCACAGTGAAGTATTTGTGGTAAGGGGGAGATTAGATGGAAAAATATACGCACTGAAGAAAGTGTTTAAACAAGATATTTTGAATGATCCCCTTGTGAATCCCGTGATGAGGGAGAGAGAGTCGATGATATGCGGGCGTAACTCAGAGTGGCTGTTGGGGCTGCATAAGTCGTTCCAAGATAGCCACGCACTGTACTTTCTGACTGATTTTATACCAGGGGGAGACCTAGGGAGTCTCTGCTGCAGGAAAGGCACTCTTCCTGAAGAGATGATTCGCTTCTTCATTGGAGAGCTGCTGATGGCTCTGAAGGAGCTGCACACTTTGGGCTTTGTGCACCGAGACATTAAGCCAGAGAATGTGCTGATTGATGCAGAGGGGCACATAAAGCTAGCAGACTTTGGAAGCAGCACAAGGCTCTGTGCTGACGACCATGCAGTGGTGGTTGGGACTCCTGACTATGTGGCGCCTGAGCTGCTAACGATGTCAGGCGGGCTGAGCGAAAAGACCGATCTGTGGTCTGTTGGGGTTGTAGTGTACGAATTAGCCTTTGGGATCACTCCTTTCTACGATGAGAGCATCAGAGGAACGTACAATAACATAATGGCAATTGAGTATAAAGTGGAAGAGTGCTCTGAGAATCTGAGAGATTTGATAGTGAATCTGCTGTGCAGCAAGGAGAACAGACTAGATCTTGAAAAAACAATGAATCACGCTTTTTTTGCAGGGTTTAGCTTTGAGGGAAAAGGTGCAAATCGTGTCCTGTATGTGCCAAGCATCCAGGGCATGGAGTCCGTGGAGAACTTTGAGATAGAAGAGTTCCAGCCTGCACAGAGCACTCCGCTCGGGAACACACTGGAAAGTGTCAGAAAGTTTATAGGCTTTGGATACGATCCAGAGATAGTTCTGCAGAGCACTGAAGAAGCACTGAGTGCAGAAGATGGAAAAGAAATAGCTGTAAATATAAAAAATAATCTTGAAATTAAAAAGAGTCCTGCAGAAACAGATGACTGCAGTGCTGCTAGTAATTTTGCAAACTCAAGCCCTGCTGAAGATCGCAATGAGACTGTCTTAAATAGCGGTGAGTGTAATAACAGCGAGAACAGCAGTGGGGTGCAGAATGATTTATGCGATAGTATCTCCCTGGAAAAGGAGAGAGAAGAGAGAATACAAGAGAACACAATCTGTGCTGTCTGCGAATGTGCACGAGTTAAGGAGTATATAATGGAAGAGAGCATTGTAATCAGCATAGAAACATCAAAAAAAGAAGAGAAGCCAGAGGAAACTGAAGAGAGCATCAGCATAACCACAGAGATGCAAGAGCCAGCTGCACAGATAGAAACAGCAGTTTGCTTAGAAGGAAGAAAGGCCAATCCCCTGGCGCCAACTGAAGAGTACATATCCGCAAAAAATAACGGAGAGCAGGAAAGTGCCCTGAAGAAGGAATACGAGGCTTTGGCTGCGCATGTTTCCCAGCTAGAGGTGGAGTTCCAAATGGGATACGAAAAGCTGGCAAAGCTGAGCTTAGAGCCGCTGGAGAAGAGCCTCGAAAGCATAGAAGCTGAAACAGAGAAGTATACACAGACAGTAAAGGAGTCTCAGAAAAGAGAGAGCGAAAATGCCTTCCAGGCCAGGTGGATCATACGAAAGCTGCAGACAGAAATACGCGATGCCCAGAGCAGAATAGAGAGAGAAGTGGAGTCCAGGACAAGCCTCGCTGAGCAGATAAAAGAAGCGAGAGCAGAGAATAAAGACCTGAAGGAGCAAATAAGAAGGCTGAAACTGGCTTCAAATGTCTACAACTTCCCGATCAAAGTGTACGGTAATAATAAGTGGGAGTCAAGCACTCTGCATCTGGAGGAAGACTATCTGCGGATAAAAGACATATGCCTCCCGATAAGCAAACTGTACTTCCAAAATTTGAAGAAAAACGAGCTGCTGCGAATTAACTCAAAGGGAGAGCTCCTTTCGTTCAAGCTCCTTCTCCCGTCTGAGGACGATGCATACACTGAGCACACAGAGTCATCATCAGATCAGACACTTATGCCGGGAGAAGACCAGGAGCTGAAGAAAGAGCTGGAGAAAGAGATAAAAATACTCGAAGGAATCGAGAGGATGATAAACACCTCTTCTCCCTTTTCCAACTCGATCATCCCCATGGCTCTGAAACAGAAAGAGGGCACAGAGAAAAAGATAGCAGAGATCAGACAGGCACTCACACAGGGCGTCACCTCTGACCCGATGCTTATCCGATACAACAACCATGCATTCCGCCTCACGAACTTCAAGGCGGGCGTGCAGACGTGGTGCCACGTGTGCAACAGATTGCTCTATGGAGAGATGAAGCAGGGTCTTTTGTGCAAGGGATGCAAGCTCGTGTGCCATCGAGAGTGCCACACTCTCATCGCATACTCCTGCGAGCTGCAGCAGGCCATGGAAAGAGGAACATCGATAATTCTCATGGCAAAGCAGCTGGAAGACAAGGAAAGGATCAAAGCAATTGTGGGGAACAGCCACTCATGAGGCACGCGTGGGCAGGGAGCAGACGCACATCACAAACGGATTTAGAGCTGAAAATATGATAAAATTATAAATAAATCAGGTTTTTAATATTGTTCCCTGGGGCTTATTAAAATTACATTGCGCATGAATTGGATGCACTTTTTACTCCCTGATGTTTGGTCTGCATAAGTATAAGTATGCCGGTGTGTCTGCAGCACTTGTTTCGATTGTTTGCATGGGGTTTCTGTGTGCTCGCAGAAGCACAAAAGAGGAAAATAGAGCAGATGGTGAATGGGAGGATGGAGGGTTTATTGTAGAGAGTGCAGAGAGAGTGAACAGCGTAGAAGTGGAGTCTCATTCCAGGAGCGTAGATGAGTACGCTCTCTTCAGCAGAACTATAGACACATTCGCACTGCGTAACACAGGTGATGGAGTGATCAAGGGAGTGTACGTGCCAAAGCACGAGGCGTCTTTCATTCTGTACTACGACGAGCTGGGGAGCATTCACAAAAAGATGCAGCACGCGGGCGTGCATGTGCTGGGATTTAGGTACCCTCTGAAACCAAATGAGCGCATTGCATTTACAGTGGAAACCATTCTAGCACACAGCTGGCTTAGATCTCCGCGTGGAAAAGAGAAGACGCGCATGTGCCTGAAGAATAAAGGCGTGTGCTCCTTTGCAGGTGAGCACGCGATCAGCCCACTGGTGGAAAAGACCTACTTTTACGTGTGGGCTATTGGAGGATCAAAGAGTTTTTAGGTGAATAGACAAATAGCAAAAGAGCGAGCACGCGAGAGAGAGTGGTCTATTTTGTCCTGAGGCCCTGAGCGCCTGATGACAATTGGTCTCAAAGATGCTTTTATTGGATACTGGTGATTGGTGTAAAAGTGGAATACAGGTACTGGGAGAATGGGAGAAAGACTATTAGCCTATCATTTATTAAAAGTATATAAGAAAGCCGGCATGGAAAGGTATGAAGATTACAAGAAGAGTTTCAATGAAAATACAAGCAGTAGTTGCAATGGCAGTTTTTATGCTTTTTATCGTGAAAAGCGTAAGCGCGTGTGATGAAAAGGGCAAGCCAGCTGATAAAGACGGGCTCAAGAAAGAAGACGGAAAGCCCAAGGACGGAAGCGCAATTGACGGAGACTCTGAAGACGGCAAGGATAAGAAGGAAAAAGACGCTGTCAAAGACCTGCTCAAAGAGGACGAGGCTAAGGCCAAGGATGCTAAGGCTGAGGGCGCAGACAGCAAAGGAAAGGAGAGCAATCCTTCCATGTAATCATGTTTACTGTGCTAAGTTGGGGTGCTAAACCTTCTACTACATAATTGAACAGTGATGTTAATAAACAATTTGTTTTACTTGGCTTTTCCAGTGTTATCTACCAGCAGTCTTCCTTCTTTTTCTGCATAAAATTGTGGTCATCACAAAATAATAGCAATTTACTGTAGTTTACAAAAATATTTAGAATTAAAACAAGTACGTCTTTTGTTCAGAATACATTCTGCAAAGACTAATCTTAAAAATAAAATAAACTTTATTTGAAAATTTAGTAGATCTAGCACAGCCCTATAGATAGTAGTAATCACAAAAGATATATCAGTTATTATGATTAGCTAGCAAAGGTAAAGCCAATTCCCAGCAAAGGGCCATTTGTGGAGACTTGGGCACTCAGATTCAAAGTGGCTCCATCGTCCACGGATATATCAGATGACACTGTAGCTGCTCCGTTGCTTCCTGCGCTTACCCGAGTGATTACAGAAGGACTGGAGATAGTTGCACCAAATACGCAGGAAACTGTGCTCAGAAGAGGCTTTGTTTTTTCCAGGATGCTTTTGTAGTCCAAGGACACTTCAGTGTGCAGAGAGACTGTTTCATCTACTGTCTTTTCAACTGTAAGTCCTGCAGGGCCTGCTGTGTGGTAGATTCCAACAAACCGCCAGGTGTTAAATACTTTGCTCAGAATGCAGGTAGATGATGCCTCCTTTGCATACTGCTCCACGAGCGAAGAGAATGTGCTGAGATTTTCTTTTGGCAAATTTTCTTTTGCTCTGGAGATCGAAAAGACCGTTTCATTTCCCAAGTGCAGACTTGGTGTAATTTGCAGCACACCACTCACCGAGAACATTCCTCCTTTGAATTTTTTGTGGAGACTAGACAGTCCACTGTGTGCGTAGGAATTTACATCGATAGAATCTCTGCTCATCTGCATGAATGCGCTTGGAATTTTAGATATGTTCTGCAGACTGAATGATTGTTTATCCACTCGAGAGTAGAGAGACTTAAGCACCGACTTTACTCTATCTTTTGAAAAAGTGGCGCTAGAACACTCTAGGTCAGGGTTTATGGCTTTCACACTCAGCGATCCATAGTTGCATGATTTTGTAAATCCAATGTCAAAGTATTTGTGCCCTGTTCCCTTCATCATAGTAAGGGAGAGGCCCTCTCCGTCGCTTGTGCTTAGTTTTCCAAGGACAGATCCATCGCTGAATAGAGAAACAGAAAAAAGCTTTGAAAAGCTGTTCAGAGAATAGTTCATGCTCACGCCTCTGTCTGTGTTAGAAAGAGAGAACACTGACTTTCCAAGTATCTCCTTGGAAATGTCCAACTTGGTGCCTTGGAATGCATAGTTGTCGATGGAGTGGGAGCGGCTTCTGCTGATGATGTCGTCGTATCTTGGGCATCTATTTTTGTACGCTGTGCTTAAATATGGAAACATAATGGTTAAATATTTTACTTGGATAAAATATTTTTTAAATGATTCCAATTGCCGTGCAGGCGCGTACTCTCGTTGTGCTTGGCCTCGAGGAGCTAGAAAAAGACTCGCAGCTTTCCAAGCTAAATGGCTTAGCTGGAGAAGAGCAGTTCGACGAAGAAAACACAAAAATAGATGAGTCTGTAGCGCTGAGTGTATTTGAGAGCGCAAAGATAGTAAACGAGCTCGTGAGCAAGCTAGACAACATGAAAATTAACGGAAAAACAATCAAAGCATTTTCTCTGTCCAGATACATGGCAATGTACAGCCTGGGAAAGGCAGCAGCCAGCCAGGGGCAGGTGCCCATTAAGCCTGCTGTGAAGAAGATTGCTGGAGAGAAGGAGATAGCTGTGTGGAAGTCTGAAGCGCTGGGCGAGCAGTTCTTGATCTACAATGAAGGCACCTTTTCCAACTACCAGCTCTCAAAAGTGTTTCCGTGCAAGCTGATAAAGACAAAGCTGATCAAGGATGTAAGTGTGAGAGTGGAGAACGATCTGGTCATTGTCCAAAAACAGAAAAACATCTTTGTGTATGGAGGATATCTGGAGCTGCTCGATGGCTTTGTGATAAATGATCTTATATCGTGCTACATGGCGGGAGACTGCATAGTGATAGGAGACAGACCAGATCCTGTCACGCAAGTGTGGAGTATCCACAACGTATACACAAAATCGCTGATTAAAACAGTTGAAATATCAAAAGAAGAAAAGTTTTCAGTTTCAAAAGACCTAACACACTATCTTATCTCACACGAGAATACGATAGAGATAAAGTCAATGCAGACCGACGAGAACATCTTCCCAGAATACTCAGTTAGAGAGCAGAACAAGAAAGTAGAAGGGCTTATGTCTCCGCATGATAATACTGTATTTGTCGTAAAATCAACTGCAATAAGCATGGAGTGGATTCTCTACTGTCTCACAACAGGAAACATAATAAGAAGAAAAGCCTTCTCGAATATAGAGAGCTACGCTGTCACATTTGCAGAGCAGGAGGTGGCCATTGTGAACGTGAGAAAGATAGGAGGGAAGTGCAGCCATTACATGGACATATGGAACACAGACGGAAACCGAGTTATCTCCAAGGCCCTTGGCGAGAATATAAAGGCTGTATACCCCAGCAAATACACAACGGTTGTTCTCGGCCAGTCAGTGTGCAAGGTTTACAAAAGACTGCAGTATCGATTGCACGATGGAGTAACGGTTAAAGATTCTATCTCAAAAGTAGAGGCTGGAGAGATAACTGTGCTGCTGAGCTCAACGCATGCGTATGTGATAGACCGCGAGGGAGAGCTCCTGAATAAGATAGAGATAGGAGGCATGGCCGACATACAGGTATCGCCTTTTGGGCTGTACATTGCACTGCTATCGGAAGGACAGGTTCGCGTGCTGGACATCTGCGGAAAGGAAGTCTTTGCATCAAACATAGAAAAAAATAACGGATTTTTCTGGAGAACAGTCGTAAATGCAGCAGATGGAGTATCGCTTGGAGACGAGGAGATACAGAAGTACAAGACAGAGGACAGCCTCAGAAGAAAGGAGGCAAGAAAACAGTTCATGAAAGAAAACGAAGAGAAGATACAGGAGTGGAGGGATTTCCTGAGTAGCATGGCGGAGTTTAGAAGTCTAGCAATGAGAAACTAAATAGACAACCCAAACAAAAGAACATCTTCTAAATATTCGAAATAAATTTATATTCAGCATAGCAAGTATTTTTGTATTTACTATTTCTCCTTCAAATAATAACAATATTGAGTGGTGGCTTAGTCTAATTTTTATCTATAAAGGAGAGAGTTAATGAGCTGGAGTGTTTGGCTTGGGCAATTTTCATTGTAATGTCTGAAATGAAGAAAAAGGCTGGTGTTTGATCGTTTTCACTGAGGATGTGCTTTTATGCTATAAAAAATTATGAAATTTTTTGTACATGCTAAGCACTAAGAGCAGTCCGTTTGCTTTCAGCAATGCCCTTACGAGATGCCTGAATCTTCTGGAGAGCGTGAAGGACAGCCCGCCTATGCTGAGGGAGGTCTTGGCGCACATTAAAAGAAACAGAGAGTGTGTGCAAACTGTCATGAAAATACTGAAGCAGGAGGAGACACTGAGGAGGCACGGAAAGCAGAAGCTGTTTCAGATGGTTTTTGCGCTGTGGGCTGCGTTTCCAGAGATGGCAACTCCGGATAGAGTAGCATCCTGTCTTTCAACGGCCTCAGAGAGCAAACTGATAAAAATCCTGCTTCTGAAAATTTTGATATCTTTGGTCAAACAGGAGAGAATTGAAGCAGACAGTGCGCTTAGCGCAATAGAGCCTCATTTGTTCCAGGGGTGTGTAGAAACAGACTATCTAGTGCTCACAGCAATGGTTGAGATACTGGAGAAGAGTCCTGCACACACTGGAAGAGTCAGAACGATCAGAGAAAGAATGCCCGAGCATCTTCCTGTATCTTTAGTGCCGAAGATCATGCAGCTTGCCTTGAAAACAGGTTTCCAGTACACCATTCCGTTAGAGGCAATAGGTCTGCACAATACAAGTGCGTACATCAGAATTTTAGATACGATTTCAGTCCTCGGCGTGGTATACCCAAGCACGCAGCTATTTTCCATCCTTCCAGAGCTGACAGACTCGTTTAAGCACACAATGTCCAGTTTTCTGCAGAAACAGCCGTGTCTCCCAGACTACGCGATAAAAAACAGCAGAAAGATCCCCTTCACAAACAGCTTAATCATCCAAAAAGTAAAAGACATACTAGCTGCAAAGGAAGACGATCCGGCAAAGATAGTAGAGAAGCTGAAAAAGCTGCTAATTTGCTGAGAGGGATTGATGAGTGTTTCATTCATAGCACTGTAAGAATAAATATAAACTGTAAGCGAATAATTAGCATTGGAGGAAAGAAGTTTTATTTTTTATGGAGTTTGTAAAAGAGAACCAGACAAACGTGCACATTGTAGAAGCACTCAGAAAGTCGCTGCCAGACAGCCTGTCAAAAAATACAGAAATAGAGATTAGGTTTGGAGTGATAATGGAAAAGTCGACACAGAAAAGGCTGGCCATTAGAGCTCTGCACCCGTGCGTGATTGAAAGAACAGACACGCTCTGGTTTGAGGCCTCTCTGTCGGAAAGCGACTTCAAAAGCATGCAGAAACACTTCAAAAAAACTTTTGAGACGTTTGAGACAAAGCTGATAAAGGACACTTTAATGAAAGGAGTCAGAAGGTCAGAGACAAAGGAGATAAACGGCAAGCCTGTGAGCGTAGAGTCCGTTCTTATCAAAAAAAAGAAGATGGCAGCAATCGACATATTCTGTCCTGCAAATAAATACGACATAAGGATAGGAATAAGCGAGGAAATCGTGCAAAAAGACAATTTAGACGCACAGACGGGGTTCAGCGTAAGAGAAAAGGCCAGGACAACATACGACCATGCGCTCTTTGTGGTGGATGCCACCGAAGTGCACTCGGGCAGGAGTGAAAAACACACAAACCTAACGTATGAGATAGAGATAGAGGCCAAAAACACTGAGTATGAGAAAGATAGATTCATTGGCATAGTAAATAATTCTATCGATGTTGTTCATAAAGTTCTTAAATAAATATGAAATGCTGCTTTTTTTAGAAATTATGGATACCTCTGTAGAAGACGCAAGAAAAATAAGCACAAAAGAGCAGCCATCTGGCACACCGCGGGAGTATGTCATAAATCTGATAGCACATGTAAACCACGGAAAAACCACAGTCATGGATAACGTGCTTGAGTATCTCGGAGTAATAACGAAGAGCATGGCTGGAGAGGCGCGATTACTGGACTCGAGGAAAGACGAGCTAGAGCGCGGGATGACAATGAAGCTTTCGCCTGTGAGCATGTTCGTGGGAGGAGCTAAAATGACTTTTCTGGACACACCCGGGCACTTGGAGTTCAACTCTCTTACAGAGTCTACGTTCATTCTATCAGATGTCTCGCTGGTCATTGCAGATGTAATGAAAGGCGTAACGGAAAGGCTGCGACAGCTCGTAAAGAGTTCGGTGGAAAATAAGTGCAAGCCCATTTTGTTCATAAACAAAATTGATATTCTGTTCAAGATGGAGATATCAAGTGACGAGATAGAGTACAGAATAGAAACAGCGCTGAGAGAGATAAATCAGGTGCTCAGCGAAGAGATAAGCTGGGAGGCAGGAACAGTGATAGTTGGCAGCGCAAAGGACAATTGGGCGCTGTCAAAGTACTCTGATCCATCAAAGATAATGGGGAAAAAGATAGACAAATTCAGCTTGAAAAAAGCCGTTAGACTACTGCGAACAATATATATGCAGAAAGAGAAAGAGCTGCACGAGCTGTCTCTGCGAATAAACAGAAAAACAAAGACGGGACTGAAGGACAAAATACAAGCAAAAGATATTGTATCGTATGAGTTTGGGTTTTTCAGCACTCTTTACATGTGTGTTAGACACGCAGATGAGACCTCATCGGGAATATACCGAGATGGAAACAGCAGCTCACCAGACGAAGTGTGTGCTGTTGTGTGCGCAAACACAATTGTGAACGGTGAAATAACAGCAATTGCCAGAACATTGGCTAAAAAGCGCATTTCAGTTGGACAAACAGTCACCGTAATGGAGAATTCATCAGAGTCAGAGTGCACGGTAGCAGGCCTCGTATACTTTACAGAGTCGCTGGATGCAGTGAGCGCAGCCATGGGCCTAGTGGGAATTCAGGGCATAGACTGCAAGAAACGAGGGATTATCTCGCTCTCAAAAACAGAAAAAGCAAAAGAGTTTCTACACTCACTAAGATGGCCTCGTTTTACTCCTCTTTTTACAGACATAATCATTCCAGCACCAGAGCACTACGATGCCATCATTAAAAGACTGACTCGATTGTCTAGGTGCGAGCCAGGGCTCTTTCTGAGCATAAAGCAGGGGAGAGTGATTGTAAAGAGTGATGGAGTTCTCCAGATAGATAAAATACGCACAGATCTGGAAGGTCTTAGCTTCGAGACACAGGAGCAATCTGAGGTGTATCAGGAGACAGTTGAAGGGGGAAGCGGAGTGGTAAGTGTGCCACAGATACAGCAAAATTTTAAAATCACTTTTAAACAGGTGAATAGCAATGACACAGATGAAAGTGCTCTAAGCCAGTTCAAGAAAGTGTTCAACAGAGAATGCTATGTAAAATTTTCAGAGGAGGTTCCGCCCGAGATAAAAATGAGCATCTCATCGCTGCTGCAGAATGGCCCGTTTTTACTGGAGAATTGCAACATGCTGTCCGTTGAAGTTTCTCCAACTGAAGAGAGCGCAACAGGCACTGTGTCCCAGATATATCTACAGTCTTCGCCAAGAATACTTGTGAATCACACGGTCCTGCACATCTCGGTGCCCTCAACACACTCGAAAGTAACAAGCAACATCCTTTCAAAATCACCAGGGTACATTCTATCTACTGAAATAGGAGAAAATTTGATAACTTTTGATCTTAGAATTCCTATCTCTGAGATAAAAGATCTGACAAACACCCTCAGAACCCAGACCAGAGGAGAGGCAGACATTCTTCCCACAAACACCATCTACTACATGGTGCCAGATAAGAAAGAGTACGAAAACGCGCTCTCGGAGACAGTGAGAGAAAAAAAAGGCCTCATACAAAAGGAGAAAATAGAATAAAAATTTTAATATTAATTGAATGGCAAGAGCTACGTATAATAAAAAGCCAAACAGCAAGACACCAAGAGACTTTCCGCAGATGAGACACGGAAAGAGAGAAAACAGAGAAGACCCAGCAAACTTCATCAAGCTCGGCGAGTTCTCCCACCCAGTTAAAAACACAAACATGATTGTAATAAAGCTCACAGAAAGCGTTATCCCGTACTTCAACGCGGGTGTGTACGGAGAGGGCGACAGAAAGATAGCCGATATCCACGAGATATTTGGAAAGTTCAACGACCATGTCTATGCAAGCATAGCAATAGATAGCAAGCTGGATGCATCAACGTACAATGCACAGTCTCTCTTTCGTGCAGACAAGTTCAAGTGTCTCTCTTTTGACAGAGTGAAGGGCGCAAGCCAGATGGCCAAAGAGGGCGTTGAGCCAAAGAAGGCAAAGAATCTGCCACAGCAGTTCAACAGAGGAAGCAGCTCCAAGTTCAGAACAAATGCGCAGAACGAGAGAGTAAAACAGTACGCAACATCGCAGATAAACATGAACAGAAGAGACAGCAGAGACAAGGGAAAGAGAGAAGAGTTCATGAGAAAAACAATAGAAAAGAGAGGGCCGTCAGTTAAGATCCACAAAAAGAAAACGTTCACATACGATGAATAGGAAAGTGTCTAGCAGCGCCAGAGAATATTTATTAATTAAATCTAAACATTAAACTATATCCTGTTAATTGAGTTCTGATTGCATCGGTTGCTAGGTTTTTGTTTCATCACACTCTCGTGTGTTCTATGCAATTTCTTGCATCGCATGAAGCTGAACCATTTTTGGCATTTAGCAGTCCTTCTCTGAAATAAGTGTGCTCTCTTTGGATTCAAACAGAAATCATCTACAGTATGGTGAACATTCTATGTGCTTGCTTGTCTTTTGGCACAGAGTAAAAAGTTTGCTCATTCGCCTCTCTATTATGAATGCTCTTGTAATATTTTTATTCGAAGTACTGAAAATTCACAGAATATTATCTGCAGAGTTCTTTTTCTTTTGCTCTTTTCTCCGCAAATTCAGTTCTGCTCTTCTGCGAGTATACTTCTCTATCTAGCCTGTTTTACGCTCTCTCAATAGACATTTTTATTTTAAATGGACACAGTTAGTCTACTAATGATAAATGAAAGCAATAAAAATAGAGAAAAAAGAAACATAAAACAATAAGAACTAGCTGCGAGAGTTTTAAAAATTTTATGGACACCGAAACCATTATAGTGTTTGCCCTAGGGATGATCTTCTATCACGGGGTAGTCAGCGCACCAGACGAAAAGTTTTTTAAAATAGCTAGTATCATTTCGCTAGTATTGTTTTTTCACAAAGTCAGCTGCAGCATGCATATGTACGAGTTTTTGCAAAAGCTTCCCTCGCAAAAGAGAACAATTCTGAGCGGCGTATTTCTGTTCATTGGCATTCTTGCGGCGATAGAGTCTGTTGTTGTCTACATGATCAACTCGTTTATTCCGCAAACTTTGATATACACGCTCGAAAGAGTGGGCGGGTGCTTTATTCTTGTTTCTCTTGTGCTAATATTCTCGTCGCTGTGGATTTTGAACAGAAATGACATCCGGCTGTGCGTGTTTATAGACCAGGGAATATACGCATACATTCGCCATCCGTACTATTTAGGTCTTTCGTTTTTGTTTGTCGGGATATGCCTGTCAATGGGGAACATCTGCAGCATAATCATTGCAGCCATTGTTCTAAAGGACAAAGTAACCGAGTTCATCGTTGACGAAGAGGATGTTCTTGTCCAGAAGCACAAAAGCTACATGAAGTACAGGGAAAGAGTGCCGAGTGGGATGCCCATAGGCCTGCTAAAAAAGATAAAACCAGAAGAATCACTCAGCGCACTGATGCTATCATAAAATCAGGCAGCTCAAGCTCTAAGCAAACTGTCTGAGTTGGGTGCTCGTATAGTACAGCACTGCTAACCATTTATTATTCAGAAGACACATAATGCGCATTCTGCAAAATTGCTGTGTGCATTTATCAAATAAACCGCTGAAACAGTATGAATAACGATATTATTGATCATTTGTTTTATGCTTCGCATGGCCCATGATTAGCAGCTATTATTTGACGAGCATACTATCCATTGCAGAACAGAGTTTGTTTAGTTTGTGCTCGCAAGCTTGCCATGCTTGGTAAACCGGTTATCTTCTCAATGGTTCTTGATAGATGTAGATGCAAATAGAAGGCAGCATGGAATGTAATGTGTAATGTATATGGCAAAAGTTGTACTCTCTGCCATTTGAAAAATGTTCAATAAATTATTATTATATCAGTTAAATTATTTTATAGATCGGATACAAAAACAACCATTACTAATGCAATTATAAGTCTAATAACTGTCGTATATCCAGAAAATAGAAGCAATTTTACTAGCTCTCTAACAAGAGTCAGTTATTGCTGCACCTTAGTCTTTTCTTCTCTGTAGAGCATTCTAGTGTGTTACCTTTACTGTGCTACTTAGTCTACGATCCTGCATTAGATCTGTGCTAGTTGTAAATTGCAGCTAAATATTCTGTGCTACATATTGCAACGTTCTTGAGTAGAAGCATAAAAATAAAATACGTGTGCTTTTACTGTTTTTCTATGCTAAATCTAGTTTATAGTCATATGGTTTTTTTATAATTTTTTACAGATGTTCTATAACTTTAAAATTCCTAGGCTAAATGTAGTTAGAAGCATAATAGTATGTGCTATTGTGGCCATCCAAATGGCAGGACTTGTTTTTGCTGAGAGCAGTGCAGAAGTAACTCCTGAGAGCACACAGTTCTATAGAGAGATGAGAGCCCTTACCAAAAAAATAGATGATGTGCTAGAAAAAATAAGAAACATGGTTGATCGAGAGAAAAGTGCTGAAGAATACAGGCTGTTGCTGGAAAAGAACAATCTAGCCATTGTTCACGAAGCAGAGCTTAGCTATGTGTACAGGTACAGCGGTCCCCTGCTAGATCTGCTCGATGTTCCCTCTATAGCAGAAAGCATAAACGACAAAAAATTAAAGAAGTGCATTATCCTCAAAAGAGCACTGGACATTGCTGATTTTGAAAAAGACGAGCTTGGCTTCTGTCTCAGCATCAATCACCCAAACATCTTAAAAACATACTTTGGATACAGAGCAGAGCCACTGGAGTCATACGAAAAAATTAACACGAAAATTGTCTGGCTATTCCAAGAGAACATGGAAATTCCGATAAGTGACCCAAAATCGAATGTAGTAATGAAGCACATATTTGACGACAGGAGAAGAATAATTAAAGACATAGCCACTGGGCTGGCACACCTGCACAAGCAGAACATACTGCACCTAGACATCAAAACTGAAAATGCAATGGGCACTTACTCCAAAAAAGAAGAGAGAATCGTGTACAAGATAATAGATCTTGGAATGACCATGAAAATCGAAGAAGGAAAAAAGTTTAAGACTATT